GTCATACATGAATAGAAAAGCCAAAGCTTGATTGAATAGGATCTACAACAAGTGGATGCCAACAATGCACAAGTCTATTGTAATTTAGGAGCGGATGCTCTGATAACAAGTATTATTATGAACGTCGGGGCAATCTTGGGGAATCAAATGACAATGATACTTAAGAACATGCGGTGGACACTCTATTTTGTATAAACATTGATTGCACTACTAGAGAAATACAAGTCAACTAAGAAGGGTGATAAGATGCATGGGGTTAATGAGAAAGGACTCCATGATATCTTCGCTATTCAGGACCCGACAGTAGGGAGCATACAGAAGAAGGGATATGGTGAGCACATCACTGATATGGAAGGTGCACTTCAACAGTTGAAAGTAGTATGAAGGCACAAGACCGTGCATTTTAGCTTCTCAGAAGACGAGAGATCAGGGGATGCGAAAGTAGTTTTCTGTGATGCTCGAGACAGTTTGTGGGTTGAAACAGGTAAGGCATATTGGGGTCCTAACCAATTTTAAGGAGCTAATGGTTGAAAAGATGATCGATGTAAGTGCTACTGAGGGCACTACTACTGCTGAGCCAGCCACGGTTGTTACTGAGGCTGATGTAGATGCGGTTGGAGACCCTCCTGCTGGGGAGGGTGAGTTAATAGAAGTAGTCAACGCATGTGGCATTGAATTGGCAGACCCAACATCATCGAGGACCGAGGTTTGAGACCGATTCTCCCCGCAACTAAAGTCCACCTAAGGGAGTTTCTGATATCCACTCTATTTTTGATCTTTTATTTTTGTAATATTGTGCAACTAAGAATAATACACATTCTTAAGTGTGGGGTGGGGGTATCAGTTTTGGATTTTGTTAGCCTATACTTAATTGCTAATTGATCTTGTGATACATGTTACTTGCTATTATATGATCACACTTGATGTCATTGTAATTGTATATTTGTAGCTAGATTTTTATTGGCTTAATCCTGAATTTTCTTTCAACCACTATTCTTTCCCGAGGATGCTAATTTTATTGAACCGGATAATTTTAGGTGGATTTTTTCAAACTTTTCAAAAAATCTTCGACTTTTCCTGACAATGGAGTTCCTAGACAGTTTTTTTGATGGATTAAAGTAAAAAAAAAATACAAAATTTCTTTTCTTTTATAACTAACAAGTGAAATTGGACAAACTTGAATATATGTGCTATTTGATGAGTTCTATTTAGTACTTAAGTTCGAAGCTTGTGAGATGATTACTTCCTTAAGGAATTTTGTAACTACATGCCTTGAAAATATAAATGACTTTATTTTGATACTTGGGCTCATCTCTTGACTCCTATTATGACTTCATATATGTTTGAACTATATGATGATTGTACCTAAGTGCTTCAATTTTAGAGTCTGAGTGAGTTATGTGCATTTTAAGATGTAAGGTTTTGATTGTACTTTATGTCAAACCTTGCTAGTCTAGAACTTGCCCCCTGTGTGAGCCAAAGAAAAATGACTAAGTCAGTGAAGTCTAGGAGATGGCATAGGTATTTCTTTGATTGACTATTGAGTTATTGTATCTACCAGTGCTAATATTACCCGTAGTCAGCTACTTTAAGCCTATAGACCTTTCTTTGGTGCCGAAGAAATTAAAAGCCAAATACTTTTTTTGTTCTTGATCAAATCTTGTTAACCATTTTAAAAGCAATTAAGTCGCAAGAAGAGTAAAAAAGAGATTGAGTAGCTTTTGAGTGAAACCATAAAAAGGTAAAAAAAGGTGCACCTGTGTATAAGAGAATTATTAGCCAGAGATATCAAAATACAGAGTTTGTAGGAAAAAACACAAAGGGGAAAAGAAAAAGATGACACCTCCCATACCTTGATCCCGTCTAGTGAGTATCTATGTGTTGATGTCCTTAAAGAAGATGAGACTAATTGTGTATAGTGTTATGGCAACGTATTTGAGTTGGTTATGATAAGAAGGTGCATGAAAATAAAGTATAGTGTACTAAAACTACTTAAGAAGGTTAATCACTATTTCTCTAGATATATCCTACTCGCCCTTTAGCCTACAGTCCTAATTGATCCTAGAATGTACTATCTTAGATTATTCGAGTCTTACCATACGAGAAATCCTATGGTACGGACTTGGGTGGCATAAGAGTTTATTTGTGAGAGTGAGCGAAGTTTTTTGATATGTGAGTCCTTAAATTATATTTGAGTGTATAGACTAATTTCTCTCTTTGGTTTATGGTGAAAGCACATGATTTGTAAAGGACTTGTAAAGTCCTTAGATCTTGAGTTGGCACATAAAGTGTGTCATAGTATGGAATGTATTGGAGTCAATTTTTGAGTTTAGAATGTTAGAAATAGTCACATAAGATTTTTTAAGAGACTTGGCATGGGTTTAAAACTTGAGGAAGAGTGTCAATAGTATATATGTTGAGTTCTAAGCGTTGATATAAACCATTATCATTACTGCGATGTTTAAGTTTGCTTTTGAATGTGTTCCTTGCCGGTGTGCCTAATTTTAGTGTTGCTCGAGGACGGGCAATAGTTTAAGTGTGTGGTGGTGATATTTGAAAAAAGTACATATTTTGGGATATATTTTCGTGTTAAATCTTATGTGATTTGTGTGATATTACATGATTATTAAAGTGAATTATGCTCATTACGTGTTTCTTATGTGTAGCAACAAGTTTGAATGAAGTGGAGCAAAAGAAGATGATTTGACGCGAAACGAAAGGTGAAGAAGCAAGAAGAGAAAAGAGTTGGAAGCTCATCTATGTTCGTGCGTCGCACGAGGGCTGAAGAACCTGAGGAGATGGCCCTCAAGAAATATATTGAATTAAGATGATGGCGTAGATCGCTTCGCGAGAAAAAAATTATAAGTGCTGGGAGCTCGTGTGACGCGACGTCCCAACTCTTCTTTCCTAGTTGGGATTGAGTAGTTCTTCCCCATAAAAGTCCTACTCCATACAATTATATATTTAAATTGTTTTTTAAGGAAGCATAATATTTCGGAGGTAGAAATATGCTAGGAGCAAGACGAAGGATTTAGCGACGAGCTTTTTTTACTTTTTCTTCCTATATTTCAGTGTTGGTTTTGAATTTTAGTAGTGTATATTCACATACTATTATGAGTAGCCAATTTTCTACTCTAGGATTTGATGGAACCATTTGTGGGATGAATTCTTGACTGCATGTTATTATAATTGATCCTTTATAATTCTTTACTTGTTCAACTAAGTGCTTATCTTAGTTAATTGAAGGGCCCTCAATTAATGGTGCCTATTTGGTGTCTATTGCATGAGAAAGAATGCATATTTAGGTTGTTGTTGAATGACGTCACTCCTAGGTATTTGAGAGATTAATGCTTTGGGTTTAAAAGCAGGTTTAAAAATTACAAAACTTTGACGTGGTTAGTGTGAGTTGTTAAAATAGCTTACTAGAGTAGTTCAATTCGAGAGAATACGTCTAATATAGTATCGTGATTGATCGACAGATGACTGTTTTAAGTTGAGTGTTCACGATCCATAGAGAATAATTAGCGAAATTATAGCTAACATAGCCAAAAAGAATTCGACAATTGGGGAAGTCTCGACCCTAGACCTCCTTAATCTTGAAAACAACTCTTCGCCTAATTAGTTGCTAATTTCCTGTATTCTATTAGCTGAAAGTACTCATTTAAACCTCAGATCATTATTTGATAATCCGGAAAATTGATTCACTTAACTCTTGGCAATAGTGAAGGTTGTAATAGATAGGTTAGTTTCCTGAAGATTTCGACTCCGGACTCTAAGTTCAATTATATTTGCAACGATCGCTTAGCCTTTTTTATAGGCATAGTTTGACGTGATCACCCTGCCTACTGGTATATTCAATAATAATAATAATAATAGAAGTCTCTAACAAGTCTAAAATATATTCTCAACTAGTAGATTTAACTATTAACATTAAAGAAAAAAGATTCAATTCTTTCTCCATTAAAAAGAAATAACAATGTAGAACGTTTAAACAATGTTTTAGAAGGTGGGGGCGTGAGGCACGGCATTTTACCTCTGACGAGGCGAGGCGTAAGCTTTGAGACATGGGGCGTAAGTACCACAGATCTTTAAGTTTTACTAATTTCAAGAATTTTAAGATAGTATAAAATAAAAAATAATTATAAAAATTACATTAAAATCAAAAAATTATAACAAATAATCTATTTAAAATATTTATAAATTATAATTCAACAATGAATAATACGAAAAGTATGACATATATCATAATATGCAAATTAGTTGCAACGTCGTTACAACTCAAACATCAAAAGTAATTTATTCGATACGAAATCTTATATGTATCTCTAAAGGAGTAATAAATCTGGAAAGAATTTCGATATTATAATTTAATATTTCTTTTAAAATACTCCTTTTATTTAATATGCTTTCTATTTGAAAGAGAATTTATATAAAAACATAATTCACAATTTAAATATAATTCTCTAGCATCATTTATATTTAAGCTTCAACAAGTTAATAAAGTGATACATAATTCACCATACAATACCATGATAACTAATTATTTGTAAATAGTTAATAGCTAATATTGAGCTATTAAATTAAAAAGTATTGTATCTCGTAAACGTGAAAAAATAATATTTAGGAAAATAATTATAAAAGAATTATGGACTATTATATAATAAAGACATAACAAAAGTTAATAAATAAATACTTTTTAAGAAAGATTTATTTAAAATTTACTATCATAGTAGTCTTAGTGGATAACGTGCAATAATATTTATTTTAATTATGACATAAAATACTCTCAACTTAATGCTTTATGATTAAGAAAAAAGTAATTTTGTAGTCAACGATTTATTAAGAAAATTTGAGGATTTACAAGATTAGTTACACACAATTGCATAAGGTTCTATTAGGCGAGCGCAGTACGCTGGACGTTGGGCATGTCCGGGGCGTAAGCCCCGACGGCCGAGATAAGTCTCACAAAACTAAGCCTCACACATAAGCCCATGGACGTTTTACGAGTGATCCGCCCTGGGGCGAGCCCGGGCGAGTCCCAATTCTACCTTTAAAACAGAGCGTTTAAATATAAACAGGCACAGAAAAAATATTACCAGCCATCTTGGAGACTCGGGGATGAAGAAGAGACCCAAAAACAGCAGGCCACATGGTACAACTCCTGAAAAATTATTAAGAAATTTAAGTTTAAAAAAAAAAGTTGGTGCAAAGAGAATTGCAGATTATGGAGGATGATAACATTACCTAGTAAAGCTAGAATCCTCCACCCGACGAAGGCACCGATCACGTAGACGGCGGATAAACCAATTACAATTGATAGCTGCCGATTGAGGAAAAGAAAAGAAGAAGAAACTTTAATTTAGTTATTACTAGTAGAAAATGTCATAAATGCATTTCTATGTTTTCTCACAATTTGCTTTTTTCATAATAAACAAAAGAGTGGGCGTGTTGGTTAAAGTTTATTACGTTCATTGTGGATTTCGTTCCTATTTTTGGATGAGGGAATCTACTTACCCACAATCGATATTTTCACCAAAAGCATTAGTTTGTCATGGTTAAAAAGTATGTAAATAAAAAAATATTAATAAATCATGTTTAAGTAATAATAGTATATGTAAAATGTCAGGCACGTGTTATGTATTCATTAATTTAGTATTTTTGCATGAGTTTGAGTCAAAAAATATGAGACCAAGATTATAAATTAAACAAATATCCTTACCCGGCCATTGATTATAAATTAAAAAATCTCAATTATTAGCAAATTCCTATTTTGATACCAGTTTTATTTAACCTGCAATTAATAGAGTCCCAATTAAATAGCCAATTTATTTTGGGTGCATTGATAAGTGAAACAGATAGAGAAATAAGTAGTCCAAATAACTTATTTAAAAAGAGATTTTTTTTTTACTTATTTATTAAATGGGAGACAAATTTACTTTTACATAGAGGGTAATTTGGTGCTTCAGTTTTTAAAGGATATTTTAGTAGAATAACTTCAACTAAAAAATTTCATACTTATAATCTATGATGTTTAGATGGATTATACCTCCTGAACAACTTTTGTTCGATAACGAGAATTTAGAATATATTATATGGTCGCATAATATTTAATTAATTTCATAAAAGTTTATAACATCTATCTGATAATGTTTAGCGGGATGCGAAACTCTAACTTAAAAGTTGCTATATTTATTTAAGAAACCTTAAGTTTTGGTATTTTTTTTAATGTTTCATTTCTTTTTTTATCTTTAAAGTAATAACATTAACCTTATAGGTTTGCTTCGTGATGGAACTGTTACATCCCGTACTTTCAAGTTAAAATTCATCTTAAGTGAATCAAAATGAGTCAGAGAATTGAAGGACCTTTACAAAGATAATGATGGGTTAAAACAAATTTTAAGGAGTATCGAGAGGGTTGGAAGGTTAAAAAGCTAATCGAATCGAAGAAAATAAGTTTCGTCGAAAGTCGGGAAGTTGGGAATGTTTTAACCTGTACTTGTGGGGTGAGACTAGGGTGCTTGAGATGACAAGAAGGTAATGTTATGAGGTATTAGTCGTATGATAGTCGTGTGTTAAGTTTTGAAGCTAAGCGAGTTATGAAACAAAAGTCGAAAAAAGCTGTCGCAAGTTACGTTCATTATTTTACTAAAAATTTAGGTCTAATGTTATTAAGTTTTTCTCTCAATATTCTTGGAATTACGGGGTGATCTAACCACCAAATTAAAGATCCACGAGTCTAGTTTCCAACGCATTAAACCGTCCGTCGATACAACGTCGGAGTAGAGAGATATTCGTGTTTTCGCGAGACTGTGCAAGCAGCTCTTGTTGGGACCCACTTGAGACGGCCCACCGACCTTACTTCTTTTAAAAGAGGTTTCAGCCTCATTTCGGGTCATTTCTCACCCAAAATTCGTCCAAAAGCTCTCCAAAATCCCCTCTAACATATCCCAAGATCCCAAACTCAAGGGAAATCAACTCAAATCATCATCAAAAGTGTTAAAGACTACATCTTCTTAATTAGGTGACACTAATTAAGGGAGTTTTGGATGGAGAGAGGCGGCAGAGAATAGGGAAAGAAGAGAGGAGAGAAAAAAAGAAAAAAATTATAACTGAATTCCCTAATTTAAGATACAAATTTAGAATTATCTTGGTAAATAAGTTTGAAAATATTATATAGGAACGAAAAAATACCCAAATATAAATCCAACTGTTCACTTCTATCCATTCTTAGGTATTAGAGCCCAATAAAATTTTTGGGTCAATACTTAAATTGGAAGGAGTGGATTTAGAATGTACTTAAATAAATAACTATAAATCCAACTGTTCACTTCTATCCATTTTTTATTTTTAATCTTTCCCCGATAGCCAAAAAGGAAATTTGCTATAAATAAAAGAAACAGAATCGGAAAATTTCTTTATACCTGATTAGTAGAGGATAGTGCCCCTCGCAATTTATTTGGCGATATCTCTCCAACAAACATAGGAACCTACATGAAGGTTCACGTGCAATAAAGGAGGTAATTTAAATTCATACGTAGTACAAATTGATATTTTCTTTGTAATTTGGGTGCAATGCCTATTTCTTTGTTAATTATGTGTGACTAGGAATATCCAAGAAGGAAACATACAACGAAGAATTTAAAGCATACCACGTAAGAAATAATGCCAATGCTATAACCTGACAAAACTCTCCCCAAATATAGCACCATCGGTTCCTTCAATTATGAAATTAGCGTTACTACAGTTAGATCTCAATTCTTCTGTTCAGTTCATAAAAGGGAATAAAAGTAATATCTTTAAAATAAAACTGACATTTAAAAATAGATTTACATTAAATTTACAAAATCAAGAAAAAGTAAAATTATCTACTACTATTTAGGCATTGTAAAATATGCAAATAAATAAGATCGTAATTCAACAAATTCTCAATTATAGAACAACATATTTAAATAAATTATAATCAAATATTTAAAAGAAAATCTAAAAATAAAATATTTTAAACGTAAAGAACGAAGAATTCAGAGTAAAGTGCCAACACGATAATTTTAAGGCATACAAAATGAATAGTTCAAGATATAAAGCTGACACAAAGGTAAATTATTCACCTAAGCTTTATAGGACTTCACCGTTCCACCACATGAATCTTGTACCATTTTGTGGATGCCTCACCTCGAGAGCAATCCTAATTTCGCTTTTTATAACATTTGTTTTATGCACGCGCGTTGGCGGTGTATCCATATCAATTAGTATAAAATTTTAAAAATAATGCATAAATATTATTAAAATATATATTTAAGTCATAAAATAAAAATTTAAGGGAAAATTATAAGTACTATTAATATGGATCCTATTTAACTAAATATATAAAGGAAGATGGTAGAGATGAGTGATGGGTCCCCAAATACCCACAACTAATAATGAATCCACATTGCAATTGCAACTTAGACTCCAACTGCTAGAGCATGTTATTCTTGAAATATAACCTTGTGTATAATGCTAGAATTTCTTCAAAATTTTAGAAATTCTTGTAATGATAAGAAAATGGAGATGATAAAATAAATGAATTTCAGTTTGTAACATAAACAAGTTGCAACAAAAAAGCAAAACAATTGCTGGTGCATTCTGAAAATTCACACACGTTCAAAATCATGAATACATGTGAAAAAGATCCTTTAAAACCTTACACAAGGAAATAGTTGCATAAGGCTTCAACAATAAAATAGACCATGAGAACATTTCAAAATTGAAATGACAACAATTGCAAAAACGGAGAAAAACAACATTGAGCAGTTTGAATGCAAGCTGCCAAACTTAAGCCTGCAAGTTGTTAATCTGAAGGAAAGACAAAAATAAAAAGTTTTATACCCTACAAATCTGCTATACTAGAGATGCCAATCCATTTACGATATTAGCTAGATAAAGGTAGATTGATCTATAAATATATTTGAGGAGAACTCTATGGCCACTTATCGTCTCTGTGCACATCTCCGACCAGGGGTGCATATAGGTCGGGTTGGTTCAGATTTTTTAATTACCAAACCAGACCAATGATGTCGGGTTTTAATCTATAAACCAAACCAAACCAACAAATTCGGGTTTTTCAATCTCGATTTTTCAATTTTTTTCAGGTTTTCGGGTTTTTTTCCCGATAAAGTCTTCATAGCAAAAAATACATGACTTGTGCTACATATATTTCTTTAGTCTTAGTAAGATACAACTATATAATATATTTTTCAAGGAAATAACACAATAATATGAGATAAGTCACAGCATTATACTAAAATATTCAATAACAAAGATAAAAAAATTGCATAAAGCAAATATTGCTAATTAATAAGCAATAATGAAAATTAACATAATCTAAAAATACTATATAGGTCATGATAAAATAAGTATAGTTAATAAGTACTATTAATTATACAACTAAGCACTAAAGAAAAAGATAAACTAAGTCATGCTTTTTCATTATAAACCAATGTAAAACTAAAAAATAGATATCCAATACTATCATCATTCCTAGTGTTAGAATTGAATTTCTTTGTTAGCATTAGTATTGATTTGAAGTTTGTTTGAGTTACTACATTTATAGGCTATAAATTTATTTAACATTCAAGAATGTTAAGTCCAAACTTCAAATAATACGTTAAAAGACAAAACTGTAAAAAAGTTTAAGAAATATTTATAAATTATATTACAATAAATATTTATATGTATAAAATATTTTTATAAATTATATAAATATACTATCGGGTTGGTTTGGTTTCGATTTGACTTTTTTTATTTAAAACCAACCAAACCAATTATGGTCGGGTTTTTTTTCCAATGCCAAACCAAATCACAATCAGGTTTTTTTCCGGTTTGACTCGTATTATCGGTTTTATGCGGTTTATCGATTTCTTTTGTACACCCCTATCTCCGACCACTGACGGCAGAACTTTTCAAGTTACCAAGTCATTTATCTCTCAAAAAAATGTATTTATAGGCCAAGAATCACATCTAGAGTAATCTAAGAATTAAACAGTCAAGTTTTAGGAAATGAGAAGTTAAATAATCAGTAACGTATACGCTTTACATACATCCCCATTAAAATAATACTAATTGAACAACTATTAATGCAATTAATTAGTCTCTTCATTTTTTCCTCACGTAGTCACATTCAGATTACATAACTAATTTGTCAATTATATTTTGGTGCGTATTTAACTATATATACAAATTAAGTGATTTAAAGAATAAATAATGATAGCTAAGGAGAAAGACTTTAGGTAAAGGGTAATTTGGTCAATTAGCTTTTGAAGGATATTTTGATAAAATAACTTCACCTAAAAGTCTTCACACTTATAATATAGTATGATCATTGTATTGGAATATGGAAGCAGTTGTACAATTGTTAGCCGATAGTTAGAAGTAGTTAGCCGTTAATAAGGTGTCAATTAGCTGTTAATAGTTAGTTAACGGAGTTAATTAAAGTCACGTGAGAAGCACATGATAGAGAAGAGCTACCAGCTATATAAACATGTATATATACTCATTTCTATTTGAGCTAACATAGTTTTTCCGTCTCATCCCTCTGTTCTCTCCACAAATTGAACTGAATCCCTAATTGTAGTAGATAAATTTCACACGGTATCAGAGCGGGTGTCTTAAGGGAGACTGATTTCCGGCGAGATTCCGGCAGCTACTGAAGAATGTGAAGCTTCGTATTCACGACAATGACATGAAATGAAGTCACATCGTTGGATCACAACCATCCACTATATCTTCAAGTTGGAGATGCACCTCGACTAGTTTTAATCCCTCTAAAACTCACAGGGCCATAAAATTATACATTGCGGAGTAGAGCGATGAAATTGGCACTCAGAGGCAAAAGCAAGCTTGGATTTGTGGATGGAACATGCGTCAAAAGCATGTACATGGGAGAATTAGCCGAGCAGTGGGAGAAATGCAACGCGATTGTTCTATCGTGGATAAGGAGTATAGTTTCAAGTGAATTAATACCAAGCATCATCTATGCTTCTAACACTAAGAAGGTCTGGAGTAATTTTCGGGAGAGATTTGATAGATCAAATCTGGCGAGAATATATCATCTCTGGACTGAGATTGCTACTTTGAGGCAAGGTACTGATTCAGTTACTACTTACTATTCTAAGATGAAAGTTTTTTGGGATGAATTTGATGTTTTAGCTCCTTTTCCCTCATGTGACTGTGAAGAATCTCTACCCTATGTTGCGCATTTGAGATCACAATGTTTACTATAATTCCTTATGGGACTTAACAAAGTAATCTGTTGGCAAGGAGACCTGTAGTGTCCGTTAATGAAGCCTATGCTATTGTGACTCAAGAGGAAAGTCAGATATGCCTTAGTGTAGTTGATGTGAATAGAGATCCCATAACAATGTTAGCACGAAAGACATACCAAGGTTTTAAACCTAAAAAACCTAGAATAATTGTGAGCATTGTGGATATAAGGGACATTTGAAAGAAAATTGCTACAAAATAGTTGGCTACCAACAGAATTTTAAAAGCAAGAAGAAGAGTCCACAAACTGGTGGATTTAGGACCTTTGCTAATTCCACAGTAGCAGGAGATGGTGGAAATATATGTGAAGGTCAATGACAAGGTCATTTCTTCACAGAGCAGCAGTACAAACAAATTCTAAGCATGCTGGAAAAGCCTGCATCAAGTGAATGTGTAGGCAATATGACAGGTAACATGGCAGATATGATCTCACTGCTATCCTACACCTTTACCTCTGAATGGATAATTGACTCGGGCATCACACCATATCACATCATGTAGAGAACAATTGACTACTTTTTAGAACACTAAGAGATCAAAATAGCATCAAGGTGCAAGTACCAACTGGTGGTAAAGCAGAGATTACAAGTGTAGGGGATGCAGTGATCCTAAAAAACTATAAACTTGAAAATGTTTTACATGTTCCAGACTTCAAGTTCAACCTTCTCTTAGTATCAAAGATAACCAAGCAACTTTCTTGTGTAGCTTTGTTTTTCCCTGATTTCTATGTATTTCAAGGACTCTTCAATAGGAAAAGTCTAAGGATTGGTAAGGAGAGGAAAGGCTTGTACATAGTACAGGAAGTAATGAAGCCTGCAGTAGGAGCATCAGTTCATAAAGAGGACAGTAGTAGAAGGCTATGGCATCCAGGACTAGGACACCCTGCAATTGGAGCAATGCAACGTATTGCAAACTTCAAGAATAAAGTTTATATCAGCACTCTTGAGTGTGGTGAGTTATGCCCTTTGGCAAAGCAAAGTAGACTAAAATTTCCTAGTACTAGTAGTGTGTAATAACCCGGCCAGTCGTTTTAAAAGTTATAGCCCTGTTCTCCTATTTACAGCTCATTCTGTACTTTATAACTTTTATGTGACTTGCCGGGGTAGTCGGTTCGGGTCCGGAGAGATTTCGAAATGAATTGAGACACTTAGTGTCAAGGTTGAAAGCTTAAGTTGAAAAGGTTGACTGGATGTTGACTTATGTGAAAATGACCCCAGAATAGAATTTTCATGATTCCAATAGCTCTGTATTGTGATTTTGGACTTAGGAGCGTGTCCGAAAAATTATTTGGAGCTTCATAGTTAAATTTGGCTTGAAATTGCTAAAATAGAAATTTAAGTTTGGAAGTTTGACCGGGGAGTTGACTTTTTGATATCGGGGTCAAAATCTGATTCTGAAAATTTGAATAGGTCCGTTATGTCATTTATGACTTGTGTGCAAAATTTGAGGTCAATGGGACTTGATTTAATACGTTTCGGCACGAGTTTTGTAAATTTGAAACTTGAAAACTCATAAGTGCGATTCGAAGTGCAATTCGTAATTTCGATGTTGTTTAATGTAATTTGAAATTTCGAGTAGATCCGTGTTATGTTACTGGACTTGTTGGTATATTCAGACGGGGTCCCGAGTACCCCGAATGCGATCCGGATCGAAATCGAATCAATTTTTGGACTTGGGCAAATTCTGAAATTTGCAGCTTCTGGTGTCATCGCACCTGCGGAGGAACTGGCCGCAGGTGCGGACTCGCACAAGCGAGTTATGGCTCGCACAAGCGAGTTATGGCTCGCAAAAGCGGACAAAGGGATGCCCAGTTGGAGTCGCAGAAGCGAAGCCGCTTCTGCGATGGAACGAACCGCAGAAGCTAAGGTTGCGCAGAAACGGGAGGCAAGGTCGCACCTGCGGTTGCGCAGAAGCGGACCATTGTCCGCAGGTGTGAAGGAA